CAGACAGCAAAATCAAACTCAAGAGAACACCGAAATCACGCCAATTGTAGCCTCTCTGGTAATTCCACTTTCTCAGCGTGCCGCGATGGGTGAGTTCAATTTGTTTGGTGTTCGAACAGATGACAACGTTGTTTTGTTTGCTTGGCGTGCCGCGGCGGGGGTGATCAGATTGTTTAGTGATCGAATAGATGACAAGGTATCCATGTCCGAAGAAATTTAATCTCGGTAATCCATTCATATTTACTGACTGATGGTTGTCAGCCTGAGACATCTGTTTGTTTGCGCTTAGGTGTTGTCCAAGTGGCAATAACAGAAGCCAACAGCAAAGCAGAAATACGCAAACATTTCCTTCATCTCTATCATTATTATTTAACTGGTTTCTTTGTTTTGTTCTTAAACCAGTAACTATTTGAAAAAATGAGTTAGAGAGTATTGGAGTGGAGCCTGACAAACCACCCAACACGTCTACCGCCATCTTTCTTTTTCATGGCAGAGGAGCCTTGAAGAGACTGTCAAATACATTAAATACAAAAATTAGAACATTAGATACAAAAATACATTAAATATTCTATAGGAGGTACAGGCTATTGCACCAATGTCGTCTTAACCTCGAAGTATGTCTATAACAGCTTTTAAGAGGATTGACAAGGGCCTCAATTATACTGTTTACTGAATTGTCCAGACGACCCAGAAAACCAAACATCAGTTGTCTCAAGAGCGCCTCCCAAGTCGGCACTCTATTAGACACGAACAAATGACTGGCACTATGCCACCTAGGGACACGAAGCAGCAATCTCATCGCATCATTGTATGCTACCTTGAGCCTCTGCATACTCTTTTTCTTATAATTAGACCACAATTGAGCAGTATATAGTAGGGCTGATTTCTAATAGTCGAGGATTCGACGATTCGATTCGGAGAGGTCTGATTCGACTATGAACCTCATAGTCGAATAGTAGGCAAGTGTTATGAGGGGTGTGACGTTATTATATAACCGTGAGACCGACGGTTATAGTTGAACACCGTCATTAGAACTCTATAACCGCCAAAACCGTGCTATTAAAATATTTTTTACAAACATTTTTTATCATAGAGAATGTTTAAATACTAATATCATCTTACGAGGGAAACGGAGGCGGAGTTAGTGGTGCGATCGGAGGCTGAGTGCTGGAGATGATTCGGGAGAGGTCTGTGCCTCTTTACTGATCAGAGCGCGTGCTGACACGGAGTAAAGCCTTGTTTATACTCGACGCGTCCGCACGAGCGCGAAGGTGCGGACGGCAAAAAAATGACGCGTTGGGTGCGCAAGACCGGCAAGACCCCATTTTGCTTGGCTGTGTGCACAGCTTTTTTTTGTAACCGCGCGCGACGCCGCATCCGAGGATGAACGACTTCAAGCCGAATCTGCCCGAGCATGTAGGCTACGTCTCACCACACCGGCACGCAGTTTGCGCATCTAAATTGCAAAGTTCATTGCAAAGTTTTTTTGTTAAGGTTTTGTTTACTGTGTGTGATTTATTTAAAACAAAGCACGTTCATTGCAACGTTTTTTTTGTTTTAAGGATTCATTTAATGGAAAGCACATTCGCTTCTAGTTGTCTGTTCATTTTAAATAAACGTAGAGCGAGTTGTCCTATAACAGACGAACACTTATTCAACCGAACGTCTAGCTGCTATCAAAAAAAAAAAAAAAGGTTCGACTATCAGTCGACTACGTCAAAATCTAACGAATCAGATTCGACTATGAAAATCCTTAGTCGAAAACAGCCCTAGTATATAGCGGTGTGATGTAGGTTCTAAACAAAGAGCACTTCACATTATCAGAGCACATTGAAAACCTCCTTATAAGCATGTTAGCTTGACAATCAATTTTACAGCGTTGACGGTATAGATCTTTGTCATCCGTCCAGTCATTGGATATAACATGACCTAAATATTTAGCTTCCTCACACACAGAAAGAGGGCTGTCTGACAGATAAAAGTCGGAAAAGTTGATTTCTTGTCCTCATCACTTCTAACTACCATTATGTAATAATATTGGTTATTAATTAAGTAATAGAAATGTACATTTCTGGGGCATGGGAAATGTCTTTCTTACTAAGTACTACTAAGAGCAAGTAGTCAAAATCTATGATTAGTGACTCCAGATATGAGCTTGAGACACGGACAACTTTACGTGTGACATTAACAAGATTTTATTAACTAGACTAAACATTTAAACCACTCTAACATACACATACATACAGTTTCCCAAGGGAAAGAGAGCCGAAGCAGAATACAGGAAAGCAAGAAGTTATAGCATTGTTTGAAGTTCAGCAGATCAACAGCCTTGAGCAAACCATCAGTTTAGTTCTAACACGCCCTTCTTTAAAAGGGGTAAGGATACTTAATGATAACGAGACTAAGTTTGATACTTGCATGTCTCGCCCATTTGGATTAAACTGTCCTGATGCAATTTGTTGAGGCTCCAGTTGATCTTTGCTGATGTGGTCTTGATGAGAGAGAACCAGTGGGAGGATCTTTGGTGAATGGAAAGACAAGGCCGCAGCCTGGCACAAGCTTGGGAGTCCTTGAGGGACTTCTAGTTCAGCATCATCTTCACATTAGGACTTCTCAGGAAGGACCAAGATAGCCAAGAGGACAAGAGAGAGAGGGGAGTCAAGAGATGCAATATAAACCCTTAGAAAGGTCCCACCTCTCAGGTTGGCTCAGCCAATAAGAAAGGTGGAAGTTCCAGGCGGGAGAATTTGGTTTATGGCTCTTTGTTTCAAGGGTGCTCATTTGCATGTGCCCGCTGGAGGGGTGGTAGCCGATGAAGAAACTGAAAGATTCTTGTAATAATAATATGTTGTTGTTATCGACATATCATGTACACAGTCATTTCAATCTTCAAAGTACCAAGTTATAGAGACCAAATATGCCAAACATATGATTAGGGCTGCAGCTATCGATTCTTTTTGTAATCGATTAATCTAGCACTTAATCGATCGATTAATCGAGTAATCGGATAAAACTTGTTTTGTGTTTTTAAACAACCAAAACAAATAATGCATAACAAAAATGATGTGGCTGTAAAATGATCAAGCATTTGGCTTTTATTTATAAAACAAAAACAAAACTGGTATTTATTACAACTCCAACATTTGGCTCCAAAACTAAGCCTTTTTATTGCAATTTTTACCCATTTAGTATAAGTGTAAACAATGTTCTATGCTCAATTACTTTGGTAGCCGATTAAAATGTCTTCCCCAAAAGTACGAGTGGATTTGGAGAAGCAGGCTGGGGAATTTCATTTTTGTTGTTGTCTGTAGCTATTTGGAAGACGTGACATACAAACAAGGTCTCGCAAAGACTGCAATACAATATTTGTTCCTCCATCACATCGCAGTGTAGGCTATACAGTTAATGCATGCTGAAATTATTGTTGCATGGCTACCTAAAAGTTTAAGCATATGTGATGCATTGCCGCAATTGATCTGACTGGCGCGTGAGAGAGACGAGGGTGTATGCGTGCGTGTGTGTGAAGGGGTTCTTTTTTTAGGCTATACTCTCTTGCAATTGAACGTGAATACGTTTACTTAAAAACATCAAAGCTAAACATTATATCTAGTCAAACCGCATCACGACATCGCTACAAATACAGTATGGGATTAAAATCAGCGAACATCAATGTATCATAGGCTTATGGTGTGTTCACACCGAACGCAAATTTTATTATTTGCGCGAGTAGATTACATACAAAGTCAATGGAAAGACGTGAATAGACGCATCATTCGCGCCGGGCGTCGCGACTGACGCGAATTGGGCCACGCGTTTGCCGCGAACGTGTTCCGCGCAAGTTGAAAAATTTGAACTCGAACGAATGTTCAAGCGTCTAACTAGACGCGATAAACGCGTATTTGACGCTCTATCCGCGTTCGGTGTGAACACCATTAATTTACCTTGTTTCAGCGACGCTTGGTGAAACAGCATTGAGTGGATGTTTTCGGTTCAGATGCTGAATCATTGAAGTCGTACTGTTGTGGTATGCCAGGTCTACTTTGCTGTTGACACATTGCACCTTGTTCTCTTCCTTTTTAAGTATGTAATAATCCTAAACTTTAGACATTCTCTGCCGTTTATGGACATCTTTACTCTCCGCCATCGCGCCAACTAAATTCAAAATGTATCACGCGCTATAGTATAGATCCCTGCGCGTCATAGGAATTTAACGAGCCTTCGAGGCAGAGTTTTTGCCTCGAGGAATTTTTGTAATCGAGTAACTCGATGAATCGTTTCAGCCCTACATATGATGTTGGCTTACCATAGTATGCAAAGTCTGAAACATTAACCCATTAGAGTTTACAAGAAAACATAGGCCAAAACAACAGAAGGAAAATCATGAGATGTGAAAATTAGATACGTTTATACATTTCTCAAGTGGTTATATACATATAGAATATATAGGATTAACAGGGTTTATTTCTTCTTCTCAGGAGAATTAAGTGAGTGTCACATCTCTCAGGAATTCCCTTTTAGGGGTCGTAAAAGATTCTTATCTATGTAACAGGATTCTGTGTGTCCGAGTTCTGCCAGTGGTGTTAGCTTCGGGGGAAGTCAGATCTTTGTTGGGAGAGTGAGTTTTACCGGACTATTCATTAAATATAATGAATAATTTGTGTGTGTGATTGGTCCAGACGCTACACTAGCCTATAGAAAATATTTAATTCATGCTATTGCATGTGAATAAATATGTGTATAACTATAGGGATAGGCTATTGCTTGGATTATTTGGTGCATATTGAATACTAATAATGTCTTTCTAACTTATTTACTCCAACAGTTCAAATTTACACAGGGATTATGATTCACATCTTCAGCGAATCCATAGAAGTTCATCTGTAAAGGCAGGAATATTCCCACCTTTTTACAAGTGAACAAACCACTCGGATGCGCTGTAAATCACATTGCAGAAGCAATAAGTCCAGCTCAAACAAATATTGAGGTATACAATTGCAAACATGGAAATGGAGGTTGTCAAAGAGGAGAGTGACAACATGAGAGAGGCATGCAAAGATGAAGATACAGAGGAACAAAGAGGTTGGTGTCCATTCCTAATTCTTTTCACTGAGTCCATTCACTTTCATTTAAATTTTCAACTTAATTTGACTTGTGTACATCTTCATTTTAGACCTGGTGAAAGTTAAAGAAGAAAGTCAAGAGCTGAATGAAGTGGAGAAACATGAGTTTGTCACCGGAGAGCATTCTTCTAATAGCTCACAGATTGAAACGCCTGAAGGAGATGTTTTCACCTGCCCTCAATGTGGAAAGAGCTTCAATGAAAGAGGAAACCTTAAGGCTCACATGAGAGTGCACACAGGAGAGAAGCCGTTCCCATGCCCTCTGTGTGGAAAGAGTTTCAGATTTAAAGGATATGTTCGCACTCACATGAGAATTCACTCCGGAGAGATGCCTTTCAAATGCCATCGATGTGGGAAGAGCTTCAATGAAAGAGGAAACCTTAAGGCTCACATGAGAGTTCACACTGGAGAGAAACCGTTCAAATGTGAGCAGTGTGGAAAGACATTCAAAACTAACAAAAGTCTTAAGACACACAAACAGAATGACATTGGTGAACATGAAAGGCCTTATAGCTGCCATCAATGTGGAATGAGTTTCTCAAAGAAAACAAACCTTTCAAATCACACACTAGTTCATTCTGGAGAGAGAGCTTTCACTTGCCGGGAGTGTGGAAAGAGTGTCAAACGTAAAGGAGAACTTCAGAGTCACCTGAGAACTCACTCTTCTGAGAAACCTTACACATGCAGTCAGTGCGGAAAGACTTTCAGGTGGGCACAGAACTTCAAGAAACACATGCTCTCTCACGCTGGAGAAAATCACCATAACTGTGATCAGTGTGGTGAAAAGTTTAGTCTGGCAGAAAACTTGCAGACTCACCTGAAAATCCATGCGAATGAGAGGCCTTACTTGTGTTCCTTCTGTGGAATGAGATTTCCACGACTGGACTATTTGAAAGAGCACCAGAAATTACATTTAGGAGTGAGCGCTCACGTGTGCCATGAGTGTGGGAATATCTTCACTAGTGCCACCTGTCTGAAAGAGCACAGGAGAATTCATGGAGTAGTAGAGAAACCTCACAAGATAGGAGAGAAACCTCACAAGTCAGGAGAGAAACCTCACAAGTCAGGAGAGAAACCTCACAAGTGTTCCCAATGTGGGAAGAGTTTCTCCAAGTTAGGAAACTTGCAGACACATGCGCGAGTGCACACAGGAGAGAAGTCGCTCCCATGCCCTCTGTGTGGGAAGAGTTTCAGCACATCAAGTGCTCGAAAGAGACATAGCACTAATAACTGTCCAAAGCTGTCAACGTGAGCACGCTTTGTTATCAAGTCTTTCAATGCATAGGTTTAAATTCAGATAAACTGGTCCCAAATAATAGTTAACGTTCAAGAGTTTTTGAGCATTCAAAGTTATTTTTTTGCTATTGAAAAGATATACACAAAGAACTGAAAAGTGATTTTTGCAAGGTTAAAAGAGTTCCCAGTTGGAAGCTTGATGAACACCCCTGACAGTGTGTGTGTGATGAGCATGCTAATCACTCCTGTAAACCGGCTGAAGTGGCTGCCCACTTTATGACAGATCTGTTGCTATGTCCTTGCTTTTTTTTGTGCTTTTTTTGTAGCATGAAAATGTTGATTTCGATGGATGGATAAAAACTATTAAAGATTATTAAAAATGTTCATGTGTGTTCTGAAGATGAATGAAAGTCTGGTGTCTGGAATGACTTAAAGGGATAGTTCAGCCAAAAATGAAAATTAGCTTGATTTACTCACCCTCAAGTGTATATGACATTCTTCTTTCAGTTGAATACAATCTGAGTTATATTAAAAAATTATATTAAAAAAGCTTAATAATAGATACAAACAAATAAGGCTGAGCAACAAACTCAAGCTCCTCTTCTCTTATATCGAAATCCTCTGACATTTCTCTTTATAAATTCTCCTTTTAGACATCTAATTCATGACTTTTGTTTTGTTTTGCTCTATCCTCTGAGCTTCTGCGTTCGTCATTACGTCAGGAGTTAAGTGTTACTCCCTTGGCCGTAAATCGTTGCGTACATTTGTCAGAAGCTGGTTATTTTGTTTTTTAAAGTTTTAAATATGGATATTTTTCTCACAGAAACGCATCATTTTCTAAAGGTCTTTATTAACCCCCCAGAGATGTACAGGTCATTCTCAAAAAATTAGCATATTGTGATAAAGTTCATTATTTTCCATAATGTAATGATAAAAATTTAACTTTCATATATTTTAGATTCATTGCACACCAACTGAAATATTTCAGGCCTTTTATTGTTTTAATACTGCTGATTTTGGCATACAGCTCATGAAAACCCAAAATTCCTGTCTAAAAAAATTTGCATATTTCATCCGACCAATAAAAGAAGTATTTTTTTTTTTTTTTCAAAGTCAACCTTCAAATAATTATGTTCAGTTATGCACTCAATAGTCAATACTTGGTCGGGAATCCTTTTGCAGAAATGACTGCTTCAATGCGGCATGGCATGGAGGCAATCAGCCTGTGGCACTGCTGAGGTGTTATGGAGGCCCAGGATGCTTCGATAGCGGCCTTAAGCTCATCCAGAGTGTTGGGTCTTGCGTCTCTCAACTTTCTCTTCACAATATCCCACAGATTCTCTATGGGGTTCAGGTCAGGAGAGTTGGCAGGCCAATTGAGAACAGTAATACCATGGTCAGTAAACCATTTACCAGTGGTTTTGGCACTGTGAGCAGGTGCCAGGTCGTGCTGAAAAATGAAATCTTCATCTCCATAAAGCTTTTAAGCAGATGGAAGCATGAAGTGCTCCAAAATCTCCTGATAGCTAGCTGCACTGACCCTGCCCTTGATAAAACACAGTGGACCAACACCAGCAGCTGACATGGCACCCCAGACCATCACTGACTGTGGGTACTTGACACTGGACTTCAGGCATTTTGGCATTTCCTTCTCCCCAGTCTTCCTCCAGACTCTGGCACCTTGATTTCCGAATGACATGCAAAACTGAGCAACAGTCCAGTGCTGCTTCTCTGTAGCCCAGGTCAGGCGCTTCTGCCGCTGTTTCTGGTGCAAAAGTGGCTTGACCTGGGGAATGTGGCACCTGTAGCCCATTTCCTGCACACGCCTGTGCACGGTGGCTCTGGATGTTTCTACTCCAGACTAGTGTTGTTTTTGGCGGCCTGTTTTAATTTTAGTTTTAGTCTAGTCTTTGTGTCAAGCTGTCATTTTAGTTTTTATTAGTTTTAGTCACGTTCATACTCTTTTTAGTCTAGTCAAGTTTCAGTCGACTAAAAGTCTGACCATTTTAGTCGACGAAAACTGATGACATTTTAGTCTAGTTTTAGTCACGTTCATACTCTTTTTAGTCTAGTCAAGTTTTAGTCGACTAAAAGTCTGACCATTTTAGTCTAGTTTTAGTCGACGAAAACAGATGACATTTTAGTCTAGTTTTAGTCACTGAAAATTGTATTTTAGTCTCTTTTCAGTAATGCAATTCTATTTAACCCAGTCAATATAACTACCTACTAGTAGTATAGACTAAACCAAAATGTTCTTTTAGCCAAACCCATTTCAAACAAGGTTATCTTATTATATTATTAAAGACTCATGAATATACATCCATTCCAGACACGGAACTTGTCGGAAGTGACAGAACGGAAGATGCACTGATTTTATTTTACCAACCAAACATGTTAGAAGTACACACACATAAATTTAAATAAAATAAATAAAAACAATAAATAAAATAGCATCACATGACAATGCCAGAAATAAATCAATACATTCAAGTTTACCATAAAGAGAAACAAGGTGCTTGAATGCTTGAGCAACAATAACATACTAAAAAGTGCAAATAAAATGTGTGTGTCTGTTATTTACTTGTATTGCTTGTAAACTGTCAGATTTTGCATCATAAAAACTATTAAAAGATATAACAATACTGTGGCGAGCAGGCCGAGGGACGTGAGAGAACGTCGCGAGGCTGGTGGCGTGAGTGATAATGAACTTCACCTGTGAGACGCACCGGTCTCGTATCTCTCACGGAGGAGTGGAAGCATAAAAGGAGGAGCGACGACAGCGAAGGACGAGATAGGAACAGGCCTGATTTTATGTTGTGTTTTGTTTGTATTTTATTGTGTGCCAGCAGTCGTCCGTGAGGGGCTGCTAGCTTTTACTTTCGTTTTGTATTCGTTTATTTTATTAAAAGTCTTGAATGTTCGCCGGTTCCCGCCTCCTTCTTCCCGGGTTTCGGCACCAATGTAACAAAGTTCATATGTTGTGGGAAGAAGGAGGCGAGAGCCAGCGAACATTCAAGACTTTTAATAAAATAAACAAATACAAAACGAAAGTAAAAGCTAGCAGCCCCTCACGGACGACTGCTGGCACACAATAAAACACAAACAAAACACAACATAAAATCAGGCCTGTTCCTCTCTCGTCCTTCGCTGTCGTCGCTCCTCCTTTTATGCTTCCACTCCTCCGTGAGAGATACGAGACCAGTGCGTCTCACAGGTAAAGTTCATTATCACTCACGCCACCAGCCTCGCGACGTTCTCTCACGTCCCTCGGCCTGCTTGCCACAAATACAAATGGTTTGGACCTTAGAGAGATATAATGGATTCGGAAGCACTGGCTGCATACAGTGGAATTCGTTGATCAGAAAAGAACAAACAGTACTGAATTATGCCAACTACTGAACCAAATAACCAGCAGTCTCAACAGCAACTACATAAACTGTAACTTCCTGAATGTGTTATTTAAGACTGGTTGTCACAAACAACAAAAAAACAAAACTGCTTCTTGCATGTCTGTTCAGGCCAGCCATTAACTACTACTTAGGCTTGTTTACTTTGAGGAAAGCGCTTCTTTCCAAAACGGTTCTAGCCCTGTTCCTGCGGCCACAAGAGAGGTAACCAGTTACACTGAAGACCCTTTCTGTAAATGCCTGAGAGGCTGGCATCGCCAGGAGGTCCAAGGGCAGAGGTTTCAGTGTTGGAAACGCAGTGGAACAACACTGAGTTAACCAATACTCAATGCCGGATTCCTCAACCTCAGCACTAGTAGCAGCAGTCTGGTGGGACTAGGACAGCCCCTCTTTATATTTTAAAATCTCCTGCCTAATGTTTGTTGTCTTGGCTGTCTTGGGCCTCGATGGACGATTAGCACCGAATAACTTAAATCTACACCGTTTTGCGGGGGCTGACTCCGGAGCCTCTGTACCCTCATTTGCGACTTGCTCATCATCGGTCAACTGCTCTTCTCGTACTTGCACTCTTTGTGGCACAAGATGAGCAATGTAGTCCTCTGCCTTTCTGACAAGATTCTTTACTTCATTGTCATCACTTTCCAGAAGGGTTTCAGCTACACAAGGGTCCACAAAGCATGCTGCTGCAGGAAGTGGCGGGAAATTGTCAGCCGTTATGTCAAGAAACACACTAAAGCGCCTATCCATGCTGGACAGCATCTTCTGAGCTAGAGTAGCTGCATCTTTGTAGGTTCGCCCATGTGCAATCGAGAACTCCGACAGGTGGTTTTTGAGATCCAGGAGTGCTGGCACAACAAGGGAAAGTGATTGAGTGTCACTTTCAAGTGACTTAGTGTGCTCTGCAAATGGCAGAAGAAGGTCTCTCAGTATCCCGATCTTCTGCCACTCACTGGGCTGCAGGCTGTCCCAGCCCATGGACTCCGCCACAGCTGTGAGGTGCTCCTTGACTTCAAGACAGCGCAAAATCATAGCAAAGCAACTTGACCACCTAGTGGGACAGTCTTTTACCAGAACTAGAGCACACTTTTGCAGCAGCCGCTCTGTGGCGACTGATGACTACCTAAATTTGTTAACTAAGTGCCTCACTTTCTCCAACAGCCTTCGGATTGGGGGTTCCTTCTGGACCATATTCACCACAAGCTGTACGGTGTGAACCACGCATGGGGTCCTCTCTATGGCTCCGTAGGAGTATCTACATGAAAAAAGAAAAAAAAGACATATTTAACCATTTTAGCCCTTATATTATTGAACCAAATGAAATATAATGAAATACATAGACTTATTTAGTCTATGTATATGAAATTAAATCATGACTAGTTTCATAAATGCTGAATGAATCAATAACATAATTTTTAATCTTTTAACTTCCTATGGAATAATTTTTTTATTCATAAAACAATATATGACCAGTTACATAAATGTTGAATGAATTATATTGTATAGTATTTTTAGTCTCCTTGTGGTTTTACTCTTTATATGTGTTTGTTGTGTACTTTGAGAGCAAAAACTAACCGGAGTCAAAATTCCTTGTTTGTATTTGCAAACCTGG